ATACTCGTTTTTGATTAATTAGTAATAATCCCAAAAAAGAGGTAATTGAAAAAATCTGATTGCAAATTTGAAACTAGCGCAAAAATGGGCTTAAAATGTATATTTTTGACTCTGATGAAAATACTTTATTTATAATTTATTTATAATTAGAAATTATTTCTGAAAACTTTTGTATCAAGTCCTTTAATTTGTGTACAAGTTTGCAATAAAATAACTACTTAATAAATTTTTATAATTTTTCTATAAAAATTAGAATATTAAATTATTAAATATTAATTTGTACTATATTTAATAGTTATAATAAATAATAAGTGCTAATTTTGCTTTTGGAACAATCCACCAATTTCTTGAGAAAATTATTGTTTTTAGTTTTTCAATTAAAATGAAACATTAAGAAGCTTTTAAAATAAAAAAATATTAAGAAGCTATAAAAATGCAAACAAATTAAGAAGCCATAAAAATGCAAAATTGAGAAGCCATAGAAATGCAAACAAATTAAGAAGCCATAAAAATGCAAAATTGAGAAGCCATAGAAATGCAAACAAATTGAGAAGCCATATAAATGAAAAAATATCAAGAAGCCATAGAAATGAAATATATTAAGAAGCCATAGAAATGCAAACAAATTGAGAAGCCATATAAATGAAAAAATATCAAGAAGCCATAGAAATGAAATATATTAAGAAGCCATAGAAATGCAAACAAATTGAGAAGCCATATAAATGAAAAAATATCAAGAAGCCATAGAAATGAAATATATTAAGAAGCCATAGAAATGCAAACAAATTGAGAAGCCATATAAATGAAAAAATATCAAGAAGCCATAGAAATGAAATATATTAAGAAGCCATTGAAATGTAAACAAATTGAGAAGCCATATAAATGAAAAAATATCAAGAAGTCATAGAAATAAAATATATTAAGAAGCCATAAAACTACAAAAATTAAGAAACCGTAGGAATGCAAACAAATTGAGAAGCCGTGGAAATGCAAACAAATTAAGAGGCCCTTGAAATGCGAAAAAATTGTGAGGCCATATAAATTGTAAATATTATTAGTAAGCTATAGAAATTTAAAAACGTTAAGAAGGACATAAAAAAATTGAGAAGCCATTTAAATTGAAAAAATATTAAGAAGCTATAGAAATTTTAAAACGTTAAGAAAAACATTAATAATTGATCCATCGATATGGATCAATGGAACACAAATTTTTTTTTCTAAATGCATTATATACACCGCTTTCATCTGACATACATTTTTTTCTTNAGAAGCCATAGAAATGCAAACAAATTGAGAAGCCATATAAATGAAAAAATATCAAGAAGCCATAGAAATGAAATATATTAAGAAGCCATTGAAATGCAAACAAATTGAGAAGCCATAAAATGAAAAAATATCAAGAAGTCNGAGAAGCCATATAAATGAAAAAATATCAAGAAGCCATAGAAATAAAATATATTAAGAAGCCATAAAACTACAAAAATTAAGAAACCGTAGGAATGCAAACAAATTGAGAAGCCGTGGAAATGCAAACAAATTAAGAGGCCATATAAATTGTAAATATTATTAGTAAGCTATAGAAATTTAAAAACGTTAAGAAGGACATTAAAAAATTGAGAAGCCATTTAAATTGAAAAAATATTAAGAAGCTATAGAAATTTTAAAACGTTAAGAAAAACATTAATAATTGATCCATCGATATGGATCAATGGAACACAAATTTTTTTTTCTAAATGCATTATATACACCGCTTTCATCTGACATACATTTTTTTCTTAATCAGATGGTTTCCCCTTATACAGTGTGCGTTCAAAACTTAAAGCCTACGTATATAAAATAAAACTTTTTCAACAAAACTTTTGAAAATGTTCCGTAAATTCTGCGTCATTTAAACTTATGTTAAATTAAAGCTTATGTTACGTACTATAAATTAAAAAAAGAGATATTCCGATGACCTATCTTCTATGTGCAAATGACCGTCGAAGTTAAACAAATTTATTAAATATTTATTCCTATATTACAATTATAAATCATATAAGTTTTTATCAGGATATAAGTAAGGAAATAGGACTTCATTTTGCTTTTGGAATAATCCTTCAATTTCTTTAAATCAAACACCATTTAATTTTGCTTAAAGTTACGTCAAAAAATAAAATGTAGATTTTAAATAAGGATATTGTAATCAATTATTAAAAATCCTTATGCCATTTCATAGAGTAACTTTTTACAAATATTTCAGCGATTGTTTCTGATCTGGTAAACTTAATAGCCTGAATTAATTATTAACTTATATATAAATTTTAATAATTTTATGTTCTAAAAAAGATTTTTCAGTAATAATAGAGAAAATGATATTGTACCAAAAATTTAATATTGCAATAGTACTTATTTAGATATTTTCTTTACTATAAATAACACTATAGTAAATGTATCAATATATTCATAATTTGCCTCATTTAGATTATACAATTCTACAATTTAGATGAACAAATTCATTTTAGCTTCGATGCGAAGCTGAGATGGTATTTATTTTATTATGATGTGTTTTTTTTTTTTTGTGTCTGTTAGCACTTTTCTCAGCTCTCACCGAACCGATTTTTTTCAACAATATATTAAAATATCACAAATCGTATCTAGTTGAAGACATTACCCTCAAAAATTGAAAAAATTTCCCTCGTTCTCCGTAAATGGGGGAATCTCCCAAAAAATTACAAATTTAAAAATCGCTAATTTTCGAAAATTTCTTTACTTAAAACTGCCATAACTTTTTCAAAAATGAATAAATCAATATCATTTTTTTTATAGATGCATAATGTCTTTACCTATCATTTGATATATTTTTTTTATAAATTTGACCCTTTACCTGGCCACAGGGAGGAATTCAAAATGACAACTTTTTCACAAAAAATTAACTTTTTAATTTAACTTCTAAAAGTGTTCCGGAAATACTGACACTTTTATATATATCTTAAATTAAAGCTTATGTAATATACTTTAATATTAAAAAGAAAATTTTAGACTTTATTTTGTCAACACAGTGAAAATGGCTTCCTTATGCTTTTTTTGTGTTAAAATACTCGATTCTATTTTTTACATTTTTAATTTTATAATGCTATAACTTATTGGAAAGCGTATGGATCAACAACATTTTTATATGAGAAATAATGTTTTTTAATATTCCCTTTTTTATTCGACATACTTTATCTTAATCAGAATATAAATAAGGAAATAGCAGATCATGTAGCTTTTGGAATAATCCACCTATATTTAAAATTAAACACTATCTAAAGATTTGCATCGAATCGTTTTTTATGATAGTGATTTTAATCACTGTCAGATATTATTATACTTGATCCAACTATGCCATGTCACCACTGTGCTGCGACACTCCTGTGCTGGGTCTTTTAGCTTTGATGCGAAGCTGAGAACGTATTAATTTTACTATGCTGTGTGTTTTTTTTTTTTACTATCAAAAATTGAAAATATTGTCCTCGTTCCCCGTAAATAGTAAAAATCCACCAAAAAATTACCATTTATAAAATCGCTAAACATTATTTAAACGTTTTTTTCTAAAAAATTGCCATAACTTATTGAAAAATTAACAATTCAAAATAATTCTTTTTTATATTTTAACCTTAGATATTTTTTTTCATTCGATATAAATTTTTTGAAAATTTGACCCTTTATCTGCCCACAGGAGGGGATTCAAAATAGCAACTTGTGCACAAAAATTTAACTTTTTCAACTTTAGTTTTGAAAATGTTACGGAAATACTCCGAGTTTCAAAGATATGTAAAATAAAAATAATTTTATACACTATAAGTTCAAAAAAAAAAATTGTACCGACGACATTTTATATTTACAAATAGTTGCTGTAGTTAAAAAACATGCTATTTTTGTGTTAAAATTCTTAGTATTGTATTTTAATTTATTTTAAAATACCTTATAAGAGGTACACTGATTTTCATGAATATTATATAAAATTAATTGACGTAATATTAAACTTATTTCAATTTTTTTTTCTTTAAAGTCGAAAAATTTAATTTTAACAGTTAAATCAGCTTAAATTGCCAAATTTATCAAAAAACGAATGCGACGAACATTTGCCGGATTCAGTAAAAATCATTGCCTATGATTTTTTTGCAATTTTTCGTAATTCTTTTTGAGTAGAATTTGCTTTTCAATAATCCACTAATTTCTTAAAATTAAACACTATCTACAGTTTTGCATCGAATCGTTTCTTAGATAGTGATTTTAATCACTGTCAGATATCATCTTTACTAGTCCCAACTATGCTACGCTTACACTGTGCTACCGTTTTTTTTTTAACTGCACATGCTTTTGTAACCTACCTATTAAAATAGGCTAATTTCTAAACATTTAAAATTTAAATATAAAATATTATATTCATCAAACTTAACAAAAAGCTATAACTAGTAGTTACGATTTTATTATAATTATATGTTACATATATAATTATATATACATATTAATAATTTTCTTCGTCAAAAAGTAGTTATACCTAATTAGTTTAGAATTAATCAAATTTCCAGTGGATCAAAACCAATAGCTGTATATATTTTTTGAGTAATTTGTTTGTGGAATAGCTAAAACGACCATAACTACTTTAATTTTTTTCACGAAAAATTGAGAACATTAACAAGAATTTAATATGTTCTCAAATGTATGTAATAACAAGTTAATAATTAAATAGATAATTGTTTAAAGTTTATTTAGCACTTCTTTTATTGTTGAGGTTGGAATTTGCTTCATTAAAAGCCATACTTTAATCAATCTTGATGCGTCATTCGTATGTATATTATTAAAGTTACGAACATTGAACATAATTGCTACTTTTTTCTACTCACTAGTGACATTTTAGAATTTTAATAGTAAATATATGTGTCTCAGATGAAACATAAAATGAATTAGCCAACGAATAAGAAATTGATGTTATATAAAAAATAATAATAATAATAAATTATAAATTCAACTCAATATATTTCTTTTATTAAAAATTGCATATTCAAATATTAATAAATCAATTAAAAACATTTATAAAAAATTTAATCTAAAATAATTGTTTTACATTTAGCAAAATTAATTTAACTAAAACACAAGTCAAAGTATAAAATACATAAAGTAAAATTAGGTGGTCATTGTACGTATCAAGTAAATAAGGAATATGACTTACACTTTTAGTTTGTAAATAGTTATCTAAAATTATAAATTAATAAAAAAGTTTAACTAATAATATAATTTTTCAATGTATAAATTGCCTTTAGTCTATTTTTTAACATCATAAAATACACAATACAAAAAATTTACTTAACATTACAGTAATAGTTTATAATGATAAATTACTAAAATATTCACGTTGATTTCATTACATTTTTATATCGTCATTTATTGAATGATTTTTTTTCTTTGAAATAAAATAGTCTTCAATTTCCATTAAAGTTTTATTTTCTGTTTCCGGTAAATTGAAATATAAGTAAAATATTCCAATTATTCCAATTGAACCAAATAAAATCATAGTATATTCAAGAGATAAAAATTCTTCAATACTTAGATATGACTTTGCCCATAAAAACATTAAAATGTAGGAAAACGCTGATGATATTCCAGTTGCAACACTTCGAACACTGTAAATAAAAAAAAAGGTTTTGTGATAATTAAAATAGAGGTGACTAAAATGTGTAGGATAGATAATTTATTATTATTATTAAAAATATTTTCTCAAAAACAAAACCGATAAATCATTAAAATTTAATTAAAGTTTTTAATATAATCGATATGAATTCGAAACTGTATATTGTTTTTATGAAGATTCATAATTTTTTTTTATGTATTATTTTATAATCTATTTTTATAAATTGACTTATAAAGAATTTATATGAATAAATTTACTTATTAAGAGTAATGTTTATCAAAGAAAAATAAATTAAATTTTAGAATATATATTTGATTATATTTATACACTAATAATATTTAAATAGGAATCCTTAAAATTATTAATATTTCAACTGTAGTATTACTTTAAATATAAGCAATGAAATTTATTGCAACATTACTTTTAATTTAATAATTTAATTTTTTTTGCTTTTAGTTCTAAAATCTCAATTTTTCATGTATAATTTCTGAGTTTTAAAATAAAGTGCTTATTTACTTATTTGGATATATTTCACTGATCACCATCCACGGTACAGCTATTAAGGTATAAGCGAAAAAATAAATGGCGAATATCAACAAAAAGAATATCCATGGAATGCTTGTAAATATTCCAGCTTTTATTAATATCAGGTAGACGCCAAATGCTAATAAGATCATTGTGTTTGCTGACAATGCAAATAATGCTAAAAATCGTTTTCCAACTATTTTAACAAGCATAGTCGTCATGATACATGGAATGATTTGTGATATTGACAAAAACATCTTTAACAATCAAAGGGCATTTAATAGTATTTTAATCAATCATTAACTTAAAGCTTCAAATTACCACTATTAAGGTTTGATTTTTCCCTAAACCAACTTCAGTCAATAAATTCATTATATATGGTCTGACAGGGATAATACTGAGTAATTGAGAGAACATAAAAAATAATAGCAGCATTCTTAATGGTCTATAAACCATGGGATTTTTAAACATCGCTATTTTCGAGGTCATCTTGACGTCGTTTTGAATTTTATTTTCATTTTTATTTCCAGATAACTCGACGTAACGGACTATTTCATTGAATTCTTCTTCAATTTCTGAAGGATAAACCCAACCTCTTAACCAGCATAATGATTTTCTAGCATCTTCAGTTCGACCTTTGGTCAAAAACCATATTGGTGATTCTGGTATCTAGTTCAATAGATAAATTATAGTCACAAATATAAGTACATAATATAGAATAACAAAATGATATCGTAAAATAGTGAAGATTTTTCTTATTAAGTTATTGATCAGATGATTACTTACTATTAAAATTAGCAATGTATAACTTAAATGAGATAAATTTTCAATATTAATAACTATAAATTTATGCATTAATTACATACCATACAAATAAGACAAACGCAACTTATTGGAATTATTAAGCTTATTAATGCTGTAATTCTTGAACCAAAAAAGAATCCCAATGAGGAGTTTATTATGGCGCCAAACATGACTCCGGCGCTAGCCAATGAAGACATTTGTCCTCTGAGTCTAGGCTCTGTTACCTCTCCAATATAAGAGAAAACAGGTGCCTCGCAAAACCCTATGCCTAACCCCATCGACACTGTAGCTATAAAGAGCATCGTAGAAGAGTAACAGAAGTACAGCAGTATCCAGCCGATAAAACTGGGAACGATTGCTAGAATCATACAGCGTTTTCTTCCAATCTTCTCTTGTAAAAATCCTGCGATGAAGCTACCGGGTGGTTGACAGACAAACAAAATACTTCCTATTAATTTTTTTTTTTTAACAATATAACACAAATAATTTTATTATTGTTCAGTCAAAAGTGGCAAAAACTTACCATACCAAGAGGCTTCAGTATCAGTTAAAGAAAAGCCAATGTTACTATTTTTATACAATTCACCAAGTACCAGCGTAGGCATCATTATTTCCATTCCCAAATTAACAAGCAGCAAACTTTGAGTTATAACAGCAAATAACTAAAAAATATATACAAAATTAGTACACATTCATAATTTTATAATTATTTATCATTAATAGTGTATTTTTAAAATGACAATTGTTTTGGCTAGCGACATTAATTTAATTAATTTGTACACTTTGATTTAAATTAGAAGAACTTATAGAACCTTCTCACTTAATTTTAAATTAGTTCTTAAAATTTTTTATAATGTAATAAAAAATGATCCATGATATTTTGAAAAATCTAATAACTTAAATATTTTGGGCAATTTTTTATAATAATTTATGCACTCTTAAACTACGTTGAAATCATATATTTTATTATTTCTTTTTAATAATAAAAAATTTAAAATTAATTTTAATTATAAAATAGCCGTTTTTTTAACTTTCGCACAAACAATTTTAATGGGAAATAACAATTTTAGTACAATTACTTATTGAGTTACAAGTGTTTTAATATATAAAATAAGTATATAGCGTCGTTGAAGTTCGTATAATAAAAATACTATATTGTATAACTGAGATAATCTCAGTGGATTTCTATTAACTAAAACTAATGGAAAAAAATTCAATTTCTAAAAGAAACTACGAAAAAGTTTCAAACTAAAATACGATCAAGTGTTATGATGAACAGTTCAATTGTTATTTATCGGTTAATAAGTTGGTAAAACATAAAATTTCGGTGTGCCAAAAGTTTTTAAACGGTCTATGCTCTAGTTCCAATAAAAAGACATATTGCATTTTGATACATGGAAATTTATTTGGTAATTTTTGGTTACAACTTTTACTTTCTTAGTGTATATTCGAAATTACCAAATAAATAAATATACATATTTATTCATCTGTACATATATGTTTACTTGATGTTTAACAAAGTTATTACAAACATTATGTTATGCAAATGGTAAAATTGAAACAAAATATTAATTTGTATTATGATATAAATAACTGGATGAAATAAACAGTACTCGTACGAATTAATAATAAATGTTTCTTTTAATCTTAGTTTGTCTTACACGAAGAAAGAAAAACATTGTATTGGTCATGTTTAAAAATATAATCATAATATAATGATTTTTAATATGATATAATTGTGCAATAACTCGTTTTATTATACTTTGAAAATAAATAAACAACCAACAAATTACTAAAAAAAGTAATAATAATAATAATGACCTTCCTACTTTGTTCTTTAAATTATTTAAAATAATAAAATATTACTAGTACTATAAACATACATGTATTATTAACCACTCAATTACTAACAAAATTACAATTATTCTGAATAATTGTAATTTTTTGGCTTTCTTTAGTTACACATGTTTTTCGTTTTATCAATTATGAAGTATTTTTTTATGATCACTTCATATACTTTTAAGATCGGCAACTATATTTTTTCCAATAACAGATTTTAAAGAAATGTGAATATTTTTATTTCTTGAGGGAAGAAGGATCGACGCTGCAAAATGCTTTAGGAAAACAATATCCATAAGCCTGTCCTTATCTCCAGTTAATATTTTAAAATATTAATAACTTAGTATTTTGTAATAAAAGGATCACTCTGTTTATAATTATAATTAATTTTCAAATTACTCACTTGTGCTAGTAACGCTTTTTGGTCATAATTTCGATTACAACCGACTATTACATCCTTGTCAATCATGTTTTAAAATTTCACAGCAGTAATGTTAACTTCTGAAAAAAACAAATATGATTAATAATGTGAGACATCATCAATCGACTTAAAATAATATTTGTCAAATAAAATATTATTCTATAACATTGTATTGTTGATAAATATTACATACATTTATCATGACCATGATCATTTAATTGATTATTGTTCCTCTAATGTATAGAGTTATTTTGTAAGAACTTTAATACATTTTATATATATAAAAACATTTAAAACTAAATTAAGTAGAATTTTCCTTTCGTCGATTACAATATTTATTATAAATAGTACATAGTTGACTATCAAGCATCAACAAGTGTTTGTGTTTCTTTTCATCAATTTATTGAATTTAATTTAGTATATTTAATATATATTTTAAATTAATTAGTTTCATATTATTTATACATGAAATTAATATATAGACCAGTTACAACTACTACTAATAGGTAAGTAATTGGGAATAAAAAGTAATGATCTTATTAAATATATATAATTTATTAAACTCTGTCGTGATATACTTTCAACATCATCACGTAAAAATTGTGATCATCATTGTCGAATTCTTACGTATTCAATTTGTGAACTAAAAGTCAGATTTGTGTTATTTCGTTTAACAGATATTACTTAATACTGTCACTGAAGTTATTATAAGAATAAAGAAAAATTATTTGGTAAGATTTCAAATCAATACGAATTAGTACTTATATTATTTTATAACCCTTGAAATCATATCCCTAATGAAAGTAACTCTCACTTATATCCAACACACCTTTAAATTTTATCAAGTTTTAATATTTTATTATTTAGTTCAAAAGCAAACAAGAGTTTATACCATTTTATTTATTATATTAAGTTTTGAGTTACGATAACTCTCTTAAAAGTTTTATTGAATTAGAGTTAGAAGTATCCATAAAAAACTTAGCGCCTTAGAAAACAATATGGTGTCTTTTAAACAACACGTTAATAAACCTTCGGCCAAGTAATGTTAAATGTTAATGTTAAAAAATAAAATTCTACTTTGCTTTTTATAAGAGCAAAGTACTATTTCCGAATCACATTCCACTACACAAACAGATAAAATTGTTGAAGAAGTTAATGATCAAATTATGAGATTTTGTATGTTTAATGTTTATGGTATATCTGAAGTGTTAGATGAATAAATATTATGGCTATTATAAGCTGTAAAAAATTTACTTACTGGTATGGCTCCTTCAATTAATTTTAAAGGGTGTAAACGACTTGGTAAATTCAGTATCGCGACCAATTTGAATTGAATTCAGATATTGCTGTTATTTCTGTGCTAAAATTTAAAATTAAACTATGTAATACTGTTTGTTTATTGATAAAAATGATTGAGTTACCAAAGATTTCTCAGCTGCTCAAAGAGATCATATAACTAGTTTACTTTCTAAATTGTTAGAAAAGCTAAAGAGTGAATATTTAAGATGGGTTATTAAATATTTCAATAGTAGACAGTACCTTGTGTCCAAAAAACTAGTTTATTACCACAAGGATACTATTTCAAACTTAATGTAAATACTGTTTAAATAATATTTATTGTATTAATTATAAATAAAAAAGTTGTATGAATTGTACCAAAATTTACGAGGTATACCTACTAAAATTAATTTACTATAATGAAAATTTTCATGTTTTAATTTAGATTTTTTCGTTTTATGTGAAACGTGGCTATATAAGCTGATATAACTGATACGTAATTAGGTTTTTCTGGGGATTATGTTGATAGAAATAGAAGTACCCGTTCTTAGTTAAGAGGTGGAGGTTTTATATTTGTATAAAATAAGCGTGTTAAAAAAATATGATTTAGACCTTGTCAAACTGGTTGTTTGTGATCGTCTTGAACAGCTGTTCAATGTTATAGTTGGTATTGAACAGCTGTTCAATGTTATAGTTGGTTATAGTAAATTTACTACATCCCCCTCCCCGTCTAGCTATTTAAGCAGCCATGAAATTTATATGGATGCTGTAGGTTAAATAATTAAAAAAAAATGTGTTAACACAAATATCTTGATAACAGGTGATTTTAATTAGTCGAATTTACATTTATGTAATTGTGATTTGGGTTTAATTATTAATGGAACATTGTTGGATAAAGCTGAAACATTATTTAAGAGTTATTTATTTCAAAAATTTAATAATGTCTTAAATTTGATAGATCTCACTTGATTAAGTTTTATTGAATGAGTTTAATACTATGCTAATATTATTAGAAACTGCACTAGTCCTGATTAACAATGATCATCCTGCACTTAGTATTGAAGTAAAATTAGGTTGTTTTACTAAAGATAAAATAAAAGAATAAAAAATGTATAACTTATAAATAGCTCCGCCTAGCTGGAGCTCCGACTTAGACCTGATGAGCCCTAATCACGTGCCTACAACGCATTATAACACTATTTTTGAATTAAAAACATTAATAAAATTGTGTTATGAAATTATTGCCTCTAATGTGTTACTATAATATAGAATTTCGAATAAAAAAAAGTAAATTTAAATTCCTCAATACAAATTTTCTTTATCGTCTAATAATTATTAGATGTTAATGAAAATAAAAAAAATAAGAGTATACATTTTCTTATTTTAAATCACTTCTAAAGGTTTGTGTTGGATCCAAAATTTCATATTTATGTCAAACTATAATAAACTAATTATGCCCTAAATGCAGAGACCAAATATACTATAGTTTCAGTACCCAAAAAAAATACAAATGATTAGAAAAACATATCCCATAAAATAATATCTTAATGTCTTATTATATGTCTACAAAAAATATAATCAAAATGTGTATTCANTAATAAACTAATTATGCCCTAAATGCAGAGACCAAATATACTATAGTTTCAGTACCCAAAAAAAATACAAATGATTAGAAAACATATCCCATAAAATAATATCTTAATGTCTTATTATATGTCTACAAAAAATATAATCAAAATGTGTATTCAAAATAATATTTAATAATAAACAACTAATTGTTATTGAGCAAAACTGGTATGCAAAAGAAAACTCTAAAATAATTATTATACAATTTGTAGATACCGTGTTATTTATGTTTTCTGTTAATATGACACAAAATACAAACAACATTTCAATGCACAAACACTAAATGGTGTGCAAATAAAAATTACGAACTTAAAAAAAATTCTCCAAGATTCTTAAATAGTCAGTTTAATAATTGAGTATGGGTCAGTTAGACACCGTCGGAAGACAAAAATTATGCAACCTTATTGGTTTTAAAAAAATTTTGCATCAGTTAAAAAAAAAATTTACAATCAGGAAATCATAATCATCTATTATAATTTAAAATCCAAATTACTATAAAGTGGTTTTAAAATCAGTGATAAATCAATATGTTTATCAAATTATCAAAAATTGAAAATATAAAAAATTAAGTAAATATATAATAATCAAACATAATTCTTTGTTGATATACCCTGCTCGATTACGTTATTTATAACGATCCTAATCGTTCTAGAGGTTCAGGAGATCCTTGTTCATTGCAAATCTCCTCATGGAGTCAATAATATGGAATCCAACGCAAGTTTGATAAACACAAAAAATATTTATTGGAACGATAACATATAAAATAAATCAGACAAATGCTCTATTGGATAAAGTCGCGAAACAATATGGATTATTATTATTATATCAAAGAAGATTACAGTCTGATATTTTAATTATATTCAAAATTATAAACGGTCATTTAGATTGCTCAATATTTAAAAAAAAATTGATTGTAAAGTTCGCATTTTAGCGAACTTTCGCATGCGAAGCTGAGAAGGTATTGGTTTTACAATGATGTGTTTTTTTTTTTTTTTTGTGTCTGTTACCACTTTTACTCAGCTCTCACTGAATGGATTTCTTTCAACGATACGTCAAAAGATCACAAATCGTATCTAGTTGAAGACATTACCCTTAAAAATTGAAAAAATTTCCCTCGTTCCCCGTAAATGGGGAAACCGCCAAAAAAATTACTAATTTAATAATCGCTAATTTTCAAAATTTTTTCAATTTTTTTTACTAAAAACTACCGTAACTTTTTCAAAAATGAACATATCAATATAATTTTTATTTTATAGATGCTTGATGTCTTTACCAATCATTTAGTATATTTTTTTTATAAATTTAACCCTTTCCCTACCCACAGGGGGATTTAAAATGACAACTTTTTCACAAAAAATTTACTTTTTCAACTTAACTTTTGAAAATGTTCCGGAAGGTCTGACACTTTTATATATATCTTAAATTAAAGCTAATGTAATGTACTTTATTATGAAAAAAATGTATGGATCAACACAATTTTTTTATGAAAAATAATATTTTTTTATAATCCCTTTTTCATTCGACATATTTTATCTTAATTAGGATATTAATAAGGAACTAGCAGATCATGTAGCTTTTGGAATAATACACCAATTTTTTAAAATTAAACACTCTAAAGATTTGCATCGAAGCGTTTTATTTTGATAGTGATTTTAATCACTGTCAGTTATCATTATACTTGATTCAACTATGCCATGTCACTACTGTGCCGCGACCCCCCTGTGCTGGGGTTTTTTTAATACCCATTCCATTTAAAAACATGTTACACTATGAAAAAATAAAAATAAACACTAATAATAGCAATTAAATTTAGTATAACATTGATATTGATAAATTAGTGTAGTCATTTTTACGGAGAAATAATGAAAAAAGTTAACAAAGTTAAATTATTCTCAGCCTTCGGTAGCAGCACCTATGATTATACTGTTTGACCTAAAGAATAAACATAAATAATTGAACACATATATATATATATATAAATGAAAGGAAAATACCTAAGGTATTTAAAGAAAAAAAATATTTTTGTTTCATCTGTTTATCAAAATGTAATAATTGAACAAGAGTTGAGAAATAACCTTTTATTCTCATTATTTCTATTTAAAATACAAGACAATTTTTGTACATTATCAATAAATTATAATTGCCCGGATGCGGCATGAGAAAAGAACTTTTATGATTAAGCAGCACATCATTAATTTTATATTTTTTGTGATAAGGATATAATTTCATCTTAAATTATTTTGACTGCGCTTTTAAAAATGTTTCTAATTGTAGTAAACAATAAAATGATAATGTTATAGCGTTCTGGCGGTGAATTTTTTAATGACTTAAAATTCAATTTTGAAAATGAAAATAAATAGCTTTTATAGGGTAGGAGACTAGAGGAATGTCGGCCACCTAAGCGGTATTTGATGTAACTCAAATGCTTTTCATTTTAATATTTAAAAATAACTTGGCAATTAAGCATTAACATGTAGGCTATATTATATCAAAGTTTTAAGTTCTTAAAATCTATATTTATTTTATAATATTAATTTAATTTTTTTTAAAATTCAATTTGACTAGGACTATTTTTACATAGGGGTTATACTACATATATAAACCAATTAAAATTTAAACTCATTAAATACATTTACATAAATAAATAAATAATCGATATTGTGAATATAGCTCTTTTAATACTACATTAACTAAATTAATGTATTAATAATTTTTATAAAATTCATTTGATGTGGAGAATTAAAGTAATAACGGTAACTTTGATGGTTTTTGATATAATTCAAAATTATTCTTTTTAAATATTTTGAATTCCATTGAAAATAAAGGATTATTATGTTGATTACATTATGTCAAGATTACAAGTTTATTAAATTAAAATGTAATTAAAAAAAAAATTAATAAATATAGTGTTTTTTCCCGGTATTTTCCCTTTATATTGACTATTATTAACCCCTTTAGCATACATCTGACTATAATCAATTTATCCATTAAGTAAAACCATTTATCATTTCCATAGAAATTCTTATCTAACATATGTTAGATAAGAATTTCTACAATTGATGTTAAGTTGACAATCGCAAAAATGTTGATATGTCCGTTAACAATAAAATGAAAACGATATTCTGATGATAAAAAAAATATTACATTACAACTAGTAATCATATTTTAGGTAACAATAACAATTATAATATTCCTATAATTCAGTGTTTTAGTTTAAAAAAATTTCGGGTGACCGGCATTCCCTTAGTCTCCCTAGGTCATATACTGTGAAAGCCAATTTGCCGAAACAATTACCAACGGAATTGATAAAATAGTAACGATTTAACAAAAAATTTTATAACGTTCTACCTATTTATATTTCAGCTATCAATGTCAAATTCGTGTTAATATACTTGTTAAAGATAAGTTAAAACGAGACAACGATTGACAACTTTTTAAATAAACAACACGATGTACAGTTATAAAGAAAACATATTACTCGTAAAGCTATAAATGACACTTGATAATAATAATACACTGGATTTATACACTGTGTTATTATTATTACATATTCGATTTTTATGTATCTTATATCAATAAACTCTGCAGGGTATGTTGATCTTTGTACTATAGTCACGACTATAGTACTAAGAATATTGAAGCAAGTCTATTTTCAAACAACAGTACGTTTATTTATTAAAAAGAAAATAAAAATATTAAAATAAATTGTAATTTTAAAACCCCTATAATAATTTTATTCCTAAAAATGATTAGCACATTATTCCCTTGATGAATAAAGTGTTAATAAAATGTTTGCCCGAAATAGACTGGTTTTTTATTACAAAAAAGATATTATTTCAAACATTATTACAATTTCATTTATTTTACTAATAGTTAATTATAAATATACAAAACATTAACTTACTAAAATTTTAATGAAGTGTCGTTTAGGTTTCTTTATGGCTTGACAAGTACTTAAAGACTAATAACAATATAATTATAAACAGTTGTTATTTTGAGATCAAGGAAATTTTGTTGACTAAATAACTAACTTTACTACATACACATTTTTTTCAGAATGAATTAGTAAGAGTTTATCTGAGGTAAGTGAACTGATAGCATAATAGTCATTATTATTATTTTGTACAATCAAATATGATAATACTCCATCGTTTATTTAAACATTTGGACTTTACTTTGTATTATTAATTATTAGTTAACACCATTTTTGATTTTACTCAAAATTATACGTACTCAAAAACAAATAATAAAAAATCAAAATTTTGCTTTAATTAAGTAATAAATCATATTCATCTCTCACTAATCACGCCGTATGTTAGCTCTGTTAATTGATATTTATGATTTATAAGTGAATTAATAAATGGTTTAAATATTCTCAGAGGAAATGTTACTGAGTTTAAATTTATTCATAAAAATGTTTATAATGAAATAATGTACATGTGTTACATTATTTCATATTATAAAATTTTATTATAATACAAAATTAAAAAATTTTCAAGCTCATTTATTGAGAATTAATCATTATTCATTATCAATCATTAAAAATCGTAAAAAAATTGAAGTGTTAAAAATTATATCATATGCCAGTACTTACGTTATTCGAAAAACAGCTCAATGAATTCACTCATTTTTCAATACAATGTACAACTGAACAATAATACAAGGTTTGGAAAAAGAAAACTGTAACATGTGTTTAATTTTTCATAAATATGGTAAAAAAAATAGCTCCATTAATTATAAATAGTTATTAAAGTATTATTATATTTTACTCGGTAAGGGTAATTTTAAAGGGTAATTATTTAGATTTACCAATATGAAAATGTTTGTAATTTTCATTAGTGTAATTGAAAACCAACTAAGTAATTATTAATTTTTATTAACCCGAAAAAAAATTAGATACTTAATATTTTCTTAAATACTTAAGTAAACATTGAATATTTAAAAATAAACGTATATTAAAGTTAAAAAATATAATAATGTTTTTAATCAATAGAACAAAAATATATAATTAGGTTATTAGAACATTAAAGCCAACATCGTTTACAATAAGCCAACAAACGTTAGCGTAAAATGTTTAAAACAACAAAACAAAATTTCAATGTAGAATATAACTTTAAGTAAAATAATTTCAATATGACAAACATTCAAATAATTATATAATCCAGCGTCTAAAAAATAATTAAATTAATATTTGCCCAAAGATTATAAAAATTAAATTTGTTTAAAAAAAATATTTACAAAATATTATTAAGTCAACATAAATTATTAAAAAAATTATTCATATATTTAAATTATAAATTTATACTAATTTAAAAATAATAATGTCAATAACGAGTTGTTTAATTTAATTAATTTAACTTAGTGTTTAGACTTAATTTTAACTTAATAACTATTCAAACCTCAACCTTGACTTTTATAATAATTTTTAGGTAGAAATCAGATCTACCGACCGAGTTTTTCTATTATCCTTAAGTCTGTTCGAATGCTCCAAAGCTAAATAACTATACAAATTTTATCAGTACATTAGTTATTGAGTCTGATAGTGTTAAATTCACAATAATTAGTTCTTATATTGTATTGTCGGGATTATAAAAAAAATTATTAGTAATTAATCATAACATTATAAAATAATTAGTAATAATTCTGTACCATTATCAGTGTTTTAATTTTTATTGATATAATTCGAATTAATTAACTCAATAAAGATACTATAGTGATAATCAGGTATTTTGTTTAATTGTAATCAATTGTTTTTTATTAGTGAGAAAACATTTCAAACAGTGACGTATCCAGGATTTTTCAATAGGAGGAGAATGTAATAAAGAAATAACTTTTAGTGACTTATTTACTTAAAATATTAGCTCTCAGTCTGAATACGCTACTGATTCCATATCACTATATCAAATAGAACACTAGATTTAATAAAAGTGTACAAATATATACATTTAATTATTATTTATGCAAATTTTATAACTAAACTAATGAAACGGTGTTCTTGAAATTTTAAGTTTAACAATCTATAATTATTAATTATACATTATAATAATAAAGACATTTTAATGATCCATAACTTAATATTATTTTGTTATTTAATATTAATGTTTAATAATAAATATTATAACAATATAAAAATATCATAAATTCATTAAAGTTTTGAAATAGTTCAATTATCTAGAATAGTGTTTCATTTATTTAATTTTAAACTTAACTTTTAATATTAATTTAAAAATGGTATGTTACAAATTTATTATTTATTACAAGCCTTTACTTGCAATGTTCTTTTTATCCAACAATTCCTTGACCTTTTGATTTATATTAATCTGAATTACTTTAATCCATGCCTTATATCTTTTGGTATACAGTAGTTTTTAAAACACAACGTTTTTATTAAAAAAAAATAATTTTCATTCATAATCTCCAAAATCAAAGGTCAATATTTGTACGTTTTATACAAACGATAACTAGATTAACAATATCAAATAAAAACAATTATTAATTTGTTACACTTTTGTATAAAACTGTGTTAAAATAAATAAAAATAAACATGTTTTTTTTTATAATTTCGTTAAATAACATCTAATTATTTTTAACTAAATTTGTCCGTTATTATGATGATGGAATCATATTTCTAATTTAATAATGAAGGTTTTTATTTATTTTTCATTGCGATTTCAAAAAAAAAATTTAATTTATTTTGTGGAAATGATATTTTAAGAAGAAAAAGATCAAATTTTGAAAAAAATTTCTTTTGTAACTAAAAATATATAATAATAACAATAGAAATTGTTTTGTTGTGCTGATTTTCTTATTTTTTTAATATTTCCTTATTTTGTTTGTTATAGTGTTATTGCATGTATATTATATATTTGTATATTATATTATTGATTATATTACAATCAACACTGTATTAATTAAATTACGATTGAAAAAAAAACAAAATTGAAATAACTTAAGTATTTTATAATTTAAAATCATATATATTTTATCTTGCAAATTTACTTAACTTAAATATTTCTTTATAGAGATCATTTATTTTCTACTAGTCATTAAATTCTATGTTTAAAATATAGCATTTCTTAAAATTACAATAAATTATTGGTATAAAAAACATAATTTGAAGTATTTACAATATTATAAGTATTATTATGCTATATCAATGCACTCTCTTATTTAATGCGAAAAATTCTTCTATCTCCAAGAAAGTTTTATTTTCAGTTTCTGGCAAGTAATAATACGAGTAAAGTGCTCCAAATACTCCAATTACAGCAAATAAAATAATTGAGTACTCCAATGTAAGAAGAGATTCAACTGGTAAATAAGATTTAGTCAATATAAATATAAGTAAATATGACAAAGCTGCAGACACTCCAGTTGCGACACCTCGACTCCTAAAAAAATAAAAATTAATAATTTTAACAGTTAAATAAAAATATGAATCAAATAATGTTAAATACTTTTCAACATGTTATTAATGAAAATTTTAACAATGATAATTTCATTTTAATGAATATATTTAAGACTAAAAACTAATGTTAACTTTACGTGATAGTTGGATAATCTGTTAAAGCGTCTCATTGATTACATTACTTTAAACGATTGTAAAAAACGCAGCAGTTTAGAATTAGGCTACCTAGCGCTTTAACCCTTTTTAGATAAAAATTAAAAAACGTTGATGAAAAATGAAAAATATTAGTGATAACGAATCTTAAAATTACAAAAAATACACTTAAAAATAGCATTAAAGTATTTAGATAACTGATACAAAATCTAAAAGTAAAAGTTGATGTTATTACCATCATCACTCAAGACACATTGACGCCCAGGACGAAAATTCGTGGTACAAACCCCTAGTAACACATTACCAATAGGTTTTCCCGTCAAATTTAGTATTTTTTTTTTCTTTTTACAGAAATTTTAGCTATTAGGTCTAAGTAGATGTGTTGCTACAAAAATTTTATTAATTTTTAAATTTTTAGAAATTTTTTTATTTGACGATTCTTTTTTTTTTTGAAAATAAATTCCTAATTTTATCATTTATGTTTTAAATTATATATATATTTAGCTTTTATTAATATTAACCTCATGATATTAACTATTTGTATACAGAATGTTCAGTAAGTAAAAAAAAAACAGGTCAATTGTTACAAACAATGAAAACAAAATAAACCCGTTTCCTTACTTACTGAACACCCTATATAAACACTACCAACTTTAATAAAGTAATTTTTATTCAATATTATCACAAAATACACTTACTCATTGGAATATATTTCACTTAATAAAATCCATGGCATAGATGAAAGTCCATAAGCTCCAAAAAAGAAAATGCTGCTAATAATCAATAATGGGATCCAACGAGTTGAACTGATTAAATTATTATTTAAAGCTATCAGATAACCACCAAAAGCAAATAATAAAAATGTATTTGTTGCAAACGAAAACAACGTCAAAAATCTTTTTCCCAACCGATTTACCGTCAATATGGTTATTATGCATGCCATTATTTGTAGCACAGATAATAACACCTAAACAAGAAAACAAATGGTGTTAGTATACTTTTGAATTTATCGTTAAATTATTAATAAATAACATAAATACCAAAATGAGATCGTGGTAATCAAAAATACCAACTCTTTCTAAAATTATATAAAGAAAAGGTCGACAGGGTATTAAACAGAGAATGAATGAGAAGAAGAAAAAGAGCATAACTAATCTCAATGGCCTGTAAACTAAAGGATCTTTAAATAATGCTAAATATTGTAATATGCTGGAACTTTTGCGAGAAGTACTATCTCCTTGCAAAGCACCGGACACCTCATTATAATGAATAAGCTCGTGGAATTCGGATTTTACAACATTAGGTTCAACCCATCCTCTTAGCCAACATAAGCATTTTTCGGCTTCTTCATTTCTACCTTTGGCTATTAGCCACATTGGAGATTCAGGAATCTATTTAACAAATATTTATTAAGTTTGCATAGTTTTTACAATAGGTGAAACTGATAGTTTGTATACTTACACAAGCGATAAAGCACATGCATGCCACAGGGCTTATTATACTAAGCAGGGCCACAATCCTCCAATGATACATGGATCCCAATATAGAAATCAACAGCATGCCGATCATAGATGACATACTCGCTATGGACGCCATGGACCCCCTGAGCCTGGGTTCAGTGACTTCTCCAACGTATGATATTATAGGGGCTTCACTGAAACCTATACTCATTCCCATAGATATCGTAGAGACGTAAAGCATCGTGATAGAGTTTGTGTAGTACAACAATATCCAACCCAATATACTAGGAACGTTGGCTAAAATCATACACCGTTTTCTACCAAAGCGTTCTTGTAAAAAGCCCGACATTACACTGCCGATTGGGTGAAATATAAATAAGATACTTCCTAAAAACAATAAACAATGACAATTTTCAAACTAAGGTTTTAAAACATGAATAATAATACCAACTACAGTACATGCGGTTTGAATATTTTCTCGTATTTTTTAAACTCTTAATAAAATATAATAATAAATTAAAATCTCAGAAATATTTTAATTAAACTAAAATTAATTAAAATCACTCACCATACCACGAAGCTTCATTCTGTGTCATTGAAAAACCAGACTGTGGTGAACTACTTCTTAAATCTCCAATAACCAACGTTGATACAGTTAATTCCATACCCAAGCCAATGAGCAAAAAACTTTGAGCAACGGTAGCCAAAGTCTACATTGAAAGTGATCAGTTAAAAATCATTTTTTTTCAAAATACAAAGTATTTTTAGTATAAATATTCATACTTGAGCCACAGTGGCTTTTATGCCATAATTTTTCACTGGTTGAATGTTTATTTTTTCCATAATTATTAATGGAATAATGTAACGGCGTAGCACTAAAATAACAATATTTTTTAATCAATATAATTTTAAAAGAATACTCTAATTGATAAAAAATGCCTAGCCGCGAGGTTCTTCATTAGAATGTACCACAATTTAAACTAACACAATTTTAAATGATATGATCAAAATTAATGGGATAAATTACCAATGGTAATAATAACTATTACAACAGAATTATAACACGAATCTCTTATAAGTTATAATATATTCGAGTGATTAAACAAGCTGATGTTTAAATATTAAAATATTAATGATAATTAAAATTAATTCGATAAATTCTAAGCAGTGTTGAGAAACTATCATTTGATAAAGATTATAATTGAAAGCTGATATTATTCTCATTGGTAATTATAAATTGTATGAAAATGATTAATTATGAAATAATTTAATAAATATCAAAATGTCATGATAAAAATGATCTTAATGTAATAGTGTACATTTATTGATCTGTAGTAATGTTTGGAAAGCGTTCTAATGAATCAATTTTTTTCTTTCTGCTAATAAAATAGAATACGTTTATAAATATTTAAAAGTAATAGACATGTAATTCGTCTAATAAAATATATCAAGTTTCTAGGCATCGCTTAGCTGAGACTCCGCCCCAGACCCAGTGCACTGCATTAATTAACCATATCAAATCATAAATAGCAAAATACTTGTTTTTAAATTATCATATAATTTATGAAATACATTTCATTTTCATTTCTATTTTTCCTCGAATTTTGCCCAAAGAAAAACCTTTTTTTTGTTTTAAAACATAAAATTTTTTTTTAATAATTATTAACACATTTTTTTTTCTTTTTACGGAACTCTTTATATTGTTTATGTTTTAATTTACTGATTATGTTATATCTATCAATAATATACTTTTTTTTTTTAAAAAAATAATTTTTTTTAAATTGGAAATGAAAAATTGATAAATTTTACTACTATAATAAGGTACTTTTTAAATTTGTAACGTAATAAAATTATGGTGTATATAACGTCACGGGTAACTATATTCAAAAAGTGCGCGTAGTGTTTATTTATTATATTAAAGAATTGTCTTACCACCTATGTTTCCCTTTTCCTAAATACTTCATCTGTCAACTGTCAACCAACGCTATGGTCATACTGTAAACTACCCTCTCCCATATGATATCAAGCTTTATTAGTAAGTAATAGTTAATGACTATGTACAGGTTAACAATAAATTGTATGTGACGAGTAATGCTCAAACCTCATAAATTTTTTTCATTCTTTTTTTCCCCTTTTACACGAGCTAACAATTTCTCGGATGTAGTCAGGGTGTATATTGTGAACATCTCATTGGGTCTTCTACATATATGAAGAGGATACTCATTGACGTCGGTAAGATATCAATTATACCCGGACATATGCGTTGGACCAGTTATGCTCATGCTTCCCCTATTTTATTATTTTGTATTATTGATATGTCAAATTGACCCTCGGTCATTATGCTAATGTCATTGAAATTTAATATAGTTTTTTGTAAAAAATTTTATCCAGTTAATTTTCATGAAATAATAGCTGTAGTCTGACTAAGACAAACGAAACAATTATGTATACATATAACATTATGTGATATTGCTCTAGTCAATTAGAAAATATACGAGATATTACAGAATGTTGCTAAATGTGATACTAAGTACATGAAAAAATAATGTGATTAGTCTAATAATATGTTTTAAAATTCAATGACTACCTTTAAAGTGTGACTATTTATAAAATATATATACTATGAAGATTAATTGTATCCAATTCTCCTAAATTAAATTATTTTTGATATTAATTGGGATGATTTTATATTTAACATTTTACAATCTATAAAAAAATATACAATATAAATATACGTAAATTGTAAATTAATATTCTATTTATTCGTTAATTTCATTTAATTTTGACTCTTTTAGTTTTATTTATCATTGTTATTTTATTTATTTTTTGTTCATTACAAAACAATTTATAATATGTAGTAAATTTTAATAACTGTTATGTTAGTCTCTAACTGTTAATCATATAACCTTTCTCCCCTGACATAAGATGCGAAATTCACGGTGCTTCGATTTTGCCTTTGGGTTGCCTTAGCCCATGGTGGACTTTCCTCAGGGTTCTTGTTCAAGTTAGGCTGGTTAATTACGAATTTAACTTACAATCTACTACTTCAAATTTTCCTTAAAATTGTATAAATTTATTTCATTAAACATTTCTTGATTAAAAATAACTTATTCTTTCCTATTTTTTCATTAAAAAACTTGTAAAAAAATTGCTTATTACACAGTAATTGAACACCTTAAGGGCAAGCTTAAACATTTCTTTGAATATTCTACACATATACAATTGTTTAATTTACTATCGTAAATGGAGTTTAAACAGGTAAATTGATCATTTAACTCGTCAACATGTTATTTGTTTTTTGAAATGCGAGTTTAAACATTTAATTGCTCTTGGTGATAAATAAAATATTTTGTCTGGAGCGTACTAAAAGCCCAAGGCTAAATTACTTTTTTACCCGACTATATTTTGATCGACCAAAAATTGAATTGATATAATTGTGCCCTCAAGTAAGATTAGAATCGGTACTGTACACCTTATTTAAATATTCATTCGAGGCCACACTAGATGAACAAGAAAACGTCATTGTAGGTTTTGTGAGGAAATTACTTTTTGTATATAATTATAGGTTAGCCATAGTTTTCAATCTAATTTTTTTTCCAAGTTTGGTGTGCATCCCTAATGTGTACACCGAACTATCCTCTTCTCCAGTAACTAATAAATTATAAAAATAAAGTTAATCTACGTAAAAAAACACACTTACTTAATAATGGAAAACTGATTCGCATAAAATATTCTTTAACAACATCAACTATAAAATCGAAAATACTAAACTTAATACAAAAATATGATCTTAAAAAAGAAACATTGAGTTTCTGAATATTGCTGAACCGTTCAAATAACGACTTACGAAAAATTGAGCAAAATCACTATGATGACCATAGTCACTTCATAATTCGTTCACACAATACAATACATATACTAGTCTAATAAAGTACTATAGTAATACTTTGATGTGTTGAAAATCAACTAATAAATACTTGAGAAGGCTGCATTTTCTTTACTATCCATTTGTCTTTAAAATTAGATTCTTGATTAATATTTTTTTAATTGCAATTTAATTGGTAGACCTTAAAGTTAAGTAACAAATTAGTATACCCTTATATTAACATTTGTTTCTCAACTAATCACATAGATACTATATACATGTACAATTGTATACTCTGAAGCTAATCAACTAAAAAGAAAATAGGTTGGACAAGGTAACATATAAATTGACAATTAAAAAGTAAAATAAAAATTTACCAAAATAATAATAGGCGGGCTGCAACTATACAATTAAAAAATGATAGTGATACTAAATCATTGATTATTTATGAAAATAAATGTATTTTTAAAAAGATGTTGGTTTGAATATTTATTAGTTTTTTTTAATAATTATTGAAGATCATGTACCCCTCAACATTATATTTTATCAATGGCGATCAATACAATGTTTAAAATATATATAAAAAATATGATTAAATACATGAGAAAAATTAATCTAGTTACGTTGATAAGTTAAACAAACACATTAGATATCAATGAGTTTGTTCTAAAAACTCAAAGCACACAAAATAACAACCATTTAAAAAACTTTTAGTACATATTTATTTAATGTATAAAGTTAATAAAATACTTGTAACATTACAAAATTTGTTTTATTTTATTTTTTTTACATGAAATATAATAATTTATTTTGAATAATTTTTCTAATTCTACAAAACGTGTACAAAAATTATTCATACCAATTATTCAAATGTAATAAAGTGATATGTACATAATAGTATATAAATATAAATCCAATGTTTATGAGGATGAACTTATGCCCAACAATTACCATACGACTGAAATGGTCAACTTAAGACTAGTGACTCGAATTATGTAGTCACTAAAGATCTGCTTTTTTAGCTATTTCACGTATCACGTCCCTGTATATTAATGGATCCAAATTCTTGCCCAACATGTACAGGACCCACCAATCACCGATGGATACTTTGTTCGTTACAGCTTTGGCCACGTCATCATTTATTAGCCTGTAGTGGCGATACCTCAAAGCGTTTTTCCTTACATTCTTATTGTACAGTAATAGAATTCTGAAAAAAAAAAAAAATATATACAGGTTAATTTTCTTACGCTTAAAAACGCATCCAACCGAAAAATCTCCGCCAACGGTTCGATCAAACTAACCATCTAAAGATCACTTATTACAGGAAATATTTTATCTGTAATGACTCTTATTTGATATTTCATCGTTGAGCAGTTATTTAATTTTTAATTCCACAGATTATTTCCCTATGTTATTTTAAACCATTCCTAAGTAACATTATTAATCCCTTTTGGTATTTTATGCGCGATCACTTGCTCTCAATTTCACTTCCTGTTTTTTCTATACAACGGTACATATGGTAGCTGCTATTCATAGGGATAGCGTTTCCCAATGAATATAGTGTGCTACACTTCAATGGGTTATACACCGTGTGCATAGTCACGTACCACAAGTCGAGTACATATTGACAATGGAGACGTCTAATCTAAATTAATATTGGTGTACACGAATTTCATAAATTACCTGTGAACAACGAGCAAGACCAGAGCGGCAAGAAGCAACAAAAACCAAAACCATATGAATATATAGGTTTTCTCGTTGACGATGTTCAGTGGCAATATACACAGTGAATCGTGCTTCTGTACAGTTCCAGATGGACCGAATTTGTGGAACGTGCACTTGGTCACCCTAGGAAATATAAAAACCATGGGGTCGATTCGGTCGTCTTGGTGTTCACCTGATAAGCCTATCACTCTGAGCCCATAGGTGAGAAACTCTCCGCCGAAAAATTTATTCATCCAATAGATCTGCAGCACTATGTTGATGAAACACAAAAATTCGCATAGCCAATACTTAGCGGCGTACCATGTGTGTTTCTAAAAAAATAATACTGATATTACTTTACAATATTTATAAGCACATCATTTTATTTATTAATTGATAAAGTGCGCTCACTAAGCGCACTTTTCAGTAATCCAGCGAATTTACTAAATTTTTAATCGATTCCTAAATTATTTACACAATAACTAGTACATATTACTATTCTTTAATCACAATAAATGTTTGCAAAGTTACACTTAGTAGTCATGCTAAATCATTAGCAATTCAAAAGATATGAGTTTGTAATAATATTTTTTAAGAGCACGAGAATTTATTTGAAATTTAATTGCTACGATAACTATCATATAAAGTTAATCTAATCGCCTTAATACAGTTTAACGCATTTCCTGATTAATTGTAACAAACGAGCTTAATGGTCTAAACTCAATGGGTCACGAGTAAATCTCCCTTAAGGTACACATTAACACTAAAGACATTCTAGTCCGTAGAACGTCATTTAAACGCATTGAGTTTAGTACGTCCAAAGAATAATTACTTTATCAAATAGAATATTGTTGAAAAATTACAGTGTGATAAAAAATTTAGATAACTATTAAATATTAAAATAGTAATAATAGTTAGAATGTTAACCTAGTCAAAAATCATACAGTTAGTTATTTTTAGTTCTTTTAAATAAAAATTAGCGGGAAAATAATTTATTTTCAGGCACTTGGAGTGGATGGAAAAATGTAGATCGTTTACATCATGTGTGAATTGAAATTATTAAAAAAGCAGTCCCGACAAACGCTGAAAAATAGTAACCATAGCACATTTCTAAATACCATAAAAAACAGGAAACAAATAATGCGAACTGAATACGTTCGTAAAAAAACCTTGCAGATCTCTTAAAATTCTAAAAATTTTAAAAAGTCTAGACTGACATGAATAATAGGATTTGTTAAACTACCCGCATTAGTCTTATAAATTCAAAAAGGGGTTATGTTTCATGTTTTGTAATGAACACTGATTTTTTTTACTAAATTCAAATGAGTATGCAAAATATTCAAGGACAATAGAAAAATGTTTTTTATTAAGATCCCAAAACTCTAGGTTATAAAAAAAAAAAATCGCCCTTGGTTGCTTTTAAATATTTTCTGGGCAATTTTATATGTTGTCAATTATTTTTATAAAAAAACTCATAGCAGCTCACTACATGCACTGAATAAGTCCTATTCGACAAGCAGAGAAAATAATTTTAATAGATTACAAGGTTATAATAAATAATGCAACGCATATAAAGGTTAATGTAATATACATTGCTTTAACTTTATAAACGCACCTTTACAAAGAGAAACAGTTCACTTATATATAAAATGATATGGTTATTTAAATGATTTTCAATGTTAACACATAAGTTTGCATTTTTTGTATATTAAAGTTACAGATTTTCACTTTAACGGGAGTAAAACCAAAATTTAGTACTCTTATAGTATTTGTTGTTAGTGCTACTTTAGTCCGTATAAACAAATTTTTAAATAAATTATATTTTTTAATTTTACTATTTCTGCTTTTACAAAGTAAACTGTTAAAAAATTATATTAAATATTTTAGTGAATTTCATAATCTTTATTTTATTTAATATTCAATAACTAATTTATATTTTTTTTAATTCAGACTTAACAATACATGAACATTATACATTGTACCGCGTACACCTCTTAAAATATATCTAATTTTTAGAAGACACTACTGCCAGGAAAATATTTTTTAAAAATTATTTTCTTTGACAAATTGTTGATTTTATAGGCAACGTAAAACATAATATGTTTATATAATATAATATATTATATTATTAAAATTCTCGTGTTTTTTGTTCATAGTTATGTATAGGGCTCAAAATTTATAAAAATAAAAAGTGTTATTTAAAGCGCTATAATAAGTACATAATAATGTTATTTAATATATACAATATTGCAACAAAAAATCAAAATATGAAAAATAAATTTTACTTAATGAAAACTTTTGCAATTTAGTTTAATCATTTACAAAAGACTACACTTGTATCATTAAAATTATCAATAAAAACAGATTATATTCAGGTGACTTTCATAGTAACCTCCATAGTAGGATATGTACACTCGGAATTTGTTCTTGTTATAATAGCTATAAAAATAAATATAATATATTTGAACATTCAGAATCTTTTCTCTATTAAGGTAAAAAAATTGTGTGAAAAACACAAAATAGCACTTTGCTTCGAATTATGCAAATATGTACAACATAAAATTTTGTGTTTCGCTTATTAGTTCCCTAAAACAAATTTACAGTTTACGCAGACATTCCTAGGGCCTCTAAAAAATATATACAAATGCTAAAATTAACGAGCCCAGGTTACTGGTGTTTTATTTAATATCAAATAGACGTTAATTTACAGTCATAACAGATAAAAAATTAAACACCATAACCACATATCGTCTAATGTTTACCATCTAATGACTTAGTATGTTTAAGAAAACATTGATTTTATTATTAAAAATGTAAAACTTGAATTCCTAAAAAATTAATTTAAATGATAACAATTCTTTTGTTTAAAAATAATATTAAATCTTGTCAGTCATTCATGTTCCCTGGAATTTAATTAATAGCTGTTATTTATTAAAATTCGTTAATTGATTCGATAACTCACACAAGTATTCGGTAAGATAAAAAAATGCATTCGCTATGACCAGTCATAATAGTATAATTCACACAGTTAATGATTTTTTAACATTATGTAAACAAATAAAAGCAAATACTCAGTGCGTTGCATGACATCGTTAATAAGAATGATCACACGCGTTTCCAAACTTTAACTAAATTTTCGGAAACAGTCAATGGATCTTAATACTTAAGAAAATATCATAATCAATGGTTTCTAAATTCGTGAAATCGTTAACAATCTATTGAATAAAATCCTGGCACATGTTAAATCACCTGGTATTAAATGCAGTAATAACTCATTTATAAAATATCCAAGATTTAAATTTAAAAGTAATTACAAAATGTATAGAATAATCCAAGCTTGCAAAATAAATGACGTATACTGATTTTAGATAAAAATTTATAAGTATAAAGTAAGTTATCAGGTTATGATAAACTAGTTATTTGTAATAACTAATAACAAAAAATACTATGTACCGATTGATAATCGCACAGTCAACATGTTCTAAAAGAGTTGAAAAACACACATAGAGTTTATATTGCTCGTACAAAACGCCGTTCGATGGATTTAAACAGTGTTGAATAATTAATTAACCGACATTTTCCTAGACCTAAAAAGGTTCTTATGGGCGAAACAAAAAAATATGCCGGACACGACGCTTTTATGAAATACTTGTACTTTCTCCATTGACGTTTTTCGACGCTTCCGTTTGTCGCGTTTGGCAATCAATACGAAAAGAAAATAAATCAAACGGTACACAGAACCGTCCAGACGGCAAAGTAACTGTCCGCCTTTTTTTTAGTAGCCATTGTGTGTTTTTTGTCTACACTAATACAGTTTGGTGGGTCTCAACTGCTCGCGGTACTTCCACGAGCCGACCAACGCGGTATACTTGATCGGATCCGAAACGAATTCCACTCTGAGGAGACTGTACAAGACACACCTGTACATTACACAACGATTTCAGAGCGCAACGCGACCGAGACATTTCGCGTTTGGTTCCATCGGATTACAACGTGCGACATTTGACACAAATCTCCTGACGCCATTTTCGAATGTATCCCACCGATTTTTTAATTTTCGTCTGGTTAAACGTAGTCGGCCGTTGCGATGCGAGTTAATAACAATTATTATTATTAAAACAACGCGTAGGCAATGGCTGTACATATACCTGCGACTACCGACAAAACACTTTTAATTATAATTTAACCCACAGGCTTGTAGTTCACACGGATATCTAATTTAATTTTTTTGTAAGAATCAACCCGCACTACACATAACTTCATGTCATTAAAATAAAATCATACAACAGTCGTCGATTAACATTTATCATTATGAGACAATGCTTTAATTAGTGTAGTTGGCCATTAGAAAAGTAAATAATGAAATGAATAACTAAAGATACTCTAAATCCGTCATGTTTTTTTCGATAACAACCAAAAAATAACTCGATATTGAATATTAAACAACAATAATCGATTCCAGAAAATATTCTTTCGACAGTATTGGACTGTGTTATAGTGTAATGGTTCAGTAGGAACTCAATTAAATCAGTTCCCCTACACACGATACTAACAGAAAATTCTCTTTTCAATTCTGAAACTCGACAGACACGAAAGGTTGCACTTAAGTGTTTGTAAAACTCATATTAATTAATAATTGATAAATTTAACGAACTTGCCATTGTCCAAAACTAATAACATACCCAAAAAGTAAGAACAGCATTCTCACGTCATGGTATTGTTAAATGTGATTTCACAGGCCTAGTACTTAGTGTATACCATGTAGACTATAATTTAGTTGGACGAAAATGAAAAGAACGATGTGGGTAATCACTCGATTTCACTTTTTTTAAAAGAAAATTCATATATTTTTATATTTCACTTGATTTCTTAAATACATAAAAAAACTCTTATACATTTATAAGTAACATATGAAATGAAAACTTCTATATTAACAATGTCGATATTGTTAACATATTCCTGAGAACACACCAAAACTTAACCTTAAAAACCTAAGGTTGGAGACACGAGTATTTTTATTTATTAAAATTTACTCGCGAATTTTCTACACGACACTAATTTCGAGTATTTTCTGTTAAAATGAAAAAGATTTATTTCCCCTATTAATAAACAATAGAATATAACAATCGGATATAAACTGAAATGTAATTGTAAATATATTTCAATAGTTGCTTTTATTTGACGTAGACTAGTGCAATAAAGAAATATTTTTAAAAAACTATTCAAAGAACAATTAGATGTAAACAATGATATTAACAACGCTGACAGATGTGTTTTAGGACCGTTTCCTAAGCAAACGGTACTTTAAAGATTCTTACGAGGACACGAGTCAAACACTTGTTTTGGATATATTTTTTACAAAAAAATACTGCACGCATAGCTCATTTTGTTTGGGTTATATAACTTCAATCCATTGTTTAATTTCCGTGACTCATGAACGTTGAATTTTACTGAATGTAAGGCGAGTCCTAAGATTGTAAATTTGCCAAACACTTAACTGGATGTCAGGTTTTGGTAAATTGCTGAATAGAAAAGAAAGAATATGTTTTAAAATACTTGATTCCTCAGTTACACGCAGTCACTTATGATAACTCCAACTAACCCTCAAGAGTGATTTTATATTAGAAAATGTTTTTAATTAATAAACTATAAAAAATGAAAGTGATTTATGTAGAAATCCATTTTAAAGACATACATTAGAAAAAGGGTAAAACCCTCACCCCGACGCGGGTTGTTTTACATAAGTTTTTTTTTAGATACAATACCAATAACTCTCTTTAATACACATGTACACCACTGTAATAATTAGAAACGGAATTATTATTATACCGCCTCCTCCGGGTAAACGGACAAAACCCGCCCTGTACATACTCATATACAACTATCCGTTCACAATCACATCAATCGAAAGATCTTTACTGGTTTTTCTCCATTCGGATTCTCAGTATCAGTTAACCCGTTTTCCGGCCATGAGAACTTCATGTACAGACGCAAACAAACAATCCTCATACTCACGAGTATCAATGGACATTTTATAAAATATACTCGTATATTAAAAACACAAACAATATTTGTCATTTACCGAGTGTCTATTGGATATACTTACGTGTTAACTAATTTATATTTCAGCCAAACTATAAAAATAACATTATGTCAGACAGAGTTTGTACTTAACAGTTTCTAATTAGCATAGTGGCTTATTAGCAACTGTCCATTGATGAATCAAAATGAAAACCATTAGAGAATATAAATTTTATTGACGGTCGAAGTACAAATATTCAATATAAAATTTAATTCAAATGAGTATTTGTATTGAGTACTAAGTCAAGTACGATTGTATAGGCATTTATAAATTTTGTTCAGTTAATACAGCCAGTACGGATTTTTATGAATAGGCTTGTCAAATTAATAAAGTTATCTAATTAGGGTTATAGTGTTTGAGGATTAGGGGGGTACATTTCCCTTTAAAACGAAAAATATCTCTTCGCTACTGTATACTTCAACAACACTTTGCACGACTTTTGGTCCTTTTCAAATGGCTTAAACAAAACTTATAAATGCATATAAATCTATTTTCTAGTACTGACCTTAATATGAGTAAGTAAGTAATGGATGAGAATAGTCTTGCGTTTCTCCTTTTCCTTTTCTTCTCCCAAACCGTAGTGGAGGCCCATGACCAGCGTAGTCATTAGTCCCCCTTCTTGAGCGTCCCATACCCATTTTGGGAAATAGCACAACATGGCCTGAAAGAATAGTACAAAGCACACCCACTGATAGTAAGAATAGTATTTGGCCGGCTCTCCTTCTTCGGGCCCTACGCCAGGATGGGCCGCGCCTACGCCCTGTTGCCGACGGAAAGCGTCGGGCATGGTGAACGTGGACATTATCCAACAGTACGTGTTCACCGGCCTGGTAGGCAAACCGTCTACGATACACTGTATTGGGTTGCCGACGTATTGTGTGGCCGTCACCATTAGCGAGCACGCGAGTAACACCACCGTGGTAAAGGTGACGTGCACCCGAAAAATGGTGCCGTCGGTAGTGACTTCCTGTCTCTTGATGAACTCTTTGAGACCGCCTAACAGCTTCAGCATACTGAGCGGTTTTTATACGGGCGAAATTATCATGGCACCCGAACCGCGGTGCTCAAACCCTGATGATGTCGCAGTTACGAACGACAGCGCGCGCGCGAGGGATAACGATACTGTTGTTGTCGACGAAACAACGATGCGTGCACTACTACCACTTCTGCCGCCGCTGCTACTATTACTAATTCTCTACCGTGGCGGCTCCTGCCACCGCTCGTACTACCAAAGCGTACTGCCACTGCCGTCCTCCCCTTAGTGTGAACACGCGCGCGGGATAGTGGAGCAAGATCTCCTGCAGTACTGCCAACAGCAATCACCGGACGATAGCGGCCCAAGACCGGATACCATCGAGGGTAGAACAATAGTTGCCATTATCCGTCGACCAACACGGTCTGTCAAAATCACTCATCCGTCACTTTCATAAATGTTAACTTTCGACGAAATGAAATATATACCGCAACACAGTTTTCCAGCGCTTTGGAAACCACTGGAACTGGAAAACGTAAACTAAACGTTGCAACGGACACGGTGCAGGGTGCAAATACCCCAAAAATAAAGTGAACGATGTGCGCGCGCGCGCCAAGCGTTTTGATGGAAAAACATTCGATCACAAAGTTTTGGAAATTCGTGAGTCAAAATTAAATAGCAGACGTGTCACATATATTAATACTTTAGTTTCAACCATTATTAATACTCAAAAACAATTAATATATTCTTAAATTGACTACCGAAAATACTTTGTTCTCGTCCATTAAAGACGATTAAACATTAAAATTGTCTCTCATATAAATACATTTTCCATCAATAAGCGTTTGTTTAACAGTGCACAAACACATGTACAAAAGAAACACATCTAAAGCCATCGAATAGACACACAGCTGAGTGCAGTTACTACAACGATGTTTGTAAAGATTCTGCATCGTGCGTGTCGTCAAGGTAACCGTCTCGATCCGACCGCGTCCCTCATTCATAAATACCAGTGTACCTTGTCCGATTGATGACAACGTAGTCACGCAGTTTATAAAACAATAAACGACCCTTATGTTCTGAAAAATCGTAGCAACCCGAAGAAATAATCGCATAAAAAACACGATTTTTCAAATAATGTTCCAAGCTTCTCTTATCACTCTGTACCGTTGGACTCCATAAAAACAATACAAGTAGACACTCCTGTCGACGACTCACGGGATTCCGACAAGGTTATAATATCCGGTCGGGGCATCTCGAATTGTCTCATAACAGTGTTGGCCGTTGACTGAATTGTAATGATTACGACCCGTGTCAATATAATGACACTCGTTCGGCCTACGATTTTGCTTTGTCGTCGTATTACTGTAATTACACTGTACGCGCAGGTATTTGGAGCGCACAATGAACTGAGAACTTTTCAAGAAGTATACCACTGAGTGCATTACACCGCAAAAATAAAGACAACGGTATTAAAGGCGGTCGATATCTCGAAATCAATTTGACTTTTTACAAACACTCTAATTGTAACGGTCACGATTTCTTAAACTCGACCGAAATATCTTTATAAATCTCTAAAATAGTTCCGATGTCTATATAATACGATTATAAATGTATGTCGACCATTTTAACTGGAATTTTTTTTATCTCGGTTCAAAATGCAAGGAAATGTACACGTCTAGACAACTTTAATATAGACGTGTGTCACAATGAAAAATAAACTAAGAGCCTGTAATGTTGGCCACACTGGTGAAGTAAATATAAGTCAGTATCCGCCGTTCTCCAATATCTTTTGTCGATTTTAACAACAGAAAATCATAATTCATATTTTTACTTATTATGAGACAAGCATAACTTGTCAAGTGCGCAATAATACAAGATGTAACAGTACTTACATTTTATTTAAAGTATATTTTCAGAGATAAAATAAATTATGCGGTTTTCAATGGTAATTGATGAAATCAACATTATTAAGCGCAAAAAAAACCTTTTTGTAGATTTCTGATTAGTTATTTTCTGGCACATGAAAGCACACACACCATTTATTGGTCATCTAAATTATCATCATTCATCATTATTCTTATGTGGCTAAAAAGAGACACAGAATTTATTCTAATTTTACAATAGTACAAAATAATACAGTATAATCAAATTTTTTAAAGAATTTTTACATCAATGTGAATTAATTAATTATATTTATAAATGCTAAAATGATATGATGGTTTTCACATAAGTATAACACATAAAACGGATTATTGAAGAACTGAAGATTTGTACTGTGAGAAATAGCTCATGTGATGATATCAATTCTACTATTATTGATCAATAACACTTTGACAATTATGCAGCTTCAATTAATTATATTATTAAGCAACTAAAATACATTTTTAATTTTTATTTGTACTGATGGAGTATTTCCATCAATAAATATCATATTTATTTATTTAAAATAATAAACAATGATTAATAATTGACAATGTCAAGTATTTATTACATTGAAATGTATACAGCTGTTTGACATACAAGATAATTATTTATTGATTATAAATTTTATCAATAGAAAATTTTTTTAAAGATTCTTTTTACTACACTAGGACTTATTATTGGATACTAGATTAATCTTGATTATACTTTGATTATCCAATGATAATCTAATAAATTGCCAACATAAACTAATATAAACAGTTTACTCAAATATATTAACGAGTCACTATTGACTAGCAATGAAAATAACAAAACTAAATCATTTATTGAACAAAATACTTTCCAAGTGAATTATTATCCTTTTAATATATTATTTTAACGGTAACGCTATGATTTTAGAATAACTTAATTAACTATTTTTTACTAACAGTTTATTCTTCAAAAACATAAATTCATCTAAATTTTACCTCGAGCATTTTTATATTTAATAACGTGAAATTATTATTTTTGTTTAAAGACTGACTTTATAACTAATCTCTAATTTACTTATAAACATTGACAATTACATTGATATATCCTATTAACCATTTATAGCGTAAAATGTTCATCTTATAGCCTAAATTTAAATATTTTATTTTTTCACTTATATAGATGAGGCCAGTAAGGATTTTGGGCAACAGTTATTCTAAAGCGAGAAAATGTTTGTTGATTATTCTTTCGAGTCATCACAAGGTAGTTTATAGATGATTTTTGGCTTGTGGTTCGGCATCAATATTTTCAATTGGGGGTTATAAAAACACATAGTTATTTTTTTATTGATCTAATACAACGTCAATATCCTTCTTCATTTTGCACAACTCGCGAGAACATTAAAGCCTGTTCAAATAATTGACTTTCGCTTCTATCTGTAATTTTAAAGAATATTTGTTTATACATCTTGTTAAAAACTTATGCAATTAATTAATCACTTACCTATTGTAGTTTGTCTAACTGGAATTCTAATGGGTATTTTATAGCGGAAATTCTTTTCAATAGCGGCACACCATTCGTCCGGACGCTAACGATGTATTCTCTTCACTTTTTGATGGCTTCTGACAATCGCCAGTGTTTAAATTATCTCCTATGCGAACATCTTTCGACACATCATTTTCCACATAGAATTCCGTAAACAAATACGTTCGTCCAATAAGAAAACTATCGATAGAATTGTTTGAAAAGTTTAACGAAATAGAACTGCAGAATTGTCATCACTGGCTGCCACTTTACTTGATCGAGTTGACTCATTAATATTACAATCGTTAGATAATGACTCTTTTTCAATATCTGCCTGAATTTTAGCCTACATAGGATTATAATCATACTGGATAAAATATTTATCGGGATCTTTTTTTTTATTTACTTCTGTAGAATTCACTAAGCTCTTAGACTGTATACCTTCAAGTTTTTCACTATCAAAATGGACAGTATACATACTTCATTATCGTTACGACTCTATGCTTTTTTCGGTTGGCTTAGGCTCAACTGATTCATCGATATTGTCGGCTAACTTACAATGCAAATCATTCGGTGCTTGAATATTTTGTTCATTTATTTTTACTGTTGGATTTGAGTATTCTACAAGTTTGTTGTTTGGACTTATCGGAGGAATGAACGTTGTTGTTTTTGGGTCCAAAAAATAATAATCTACACATTGCCTTAATTTACACATACGTACAGCTAAATCTTTAGAGTTCAAACTTGTTATCTTTTGGCAAATTCCTTTGTGGTGGGAAAACTCGTGTATGCTAAGTCTTATAGTAGAAGTATCATTTTGTCAGTCATTCCTAACTAACACTAGAGTCCTAGATCCATTATTTCTTCGAATCTTTTAAATAATAAAATATTCACAATTTACAAGACGTATAGCTACTGTGCATTTCAATTTGTATGCATGTTCAAAAAATTGTAATCTGCTTACGATTCTCGACGACTCGTATTTCTTTACAAGATTTTTCACACGTTCGCTATTTTTCTGATTAGCCACGTCTGTATGGACTACTATAAAACTAAAAAACTTGATGAAATTTTTTTTTGAAAAAAAAAAAAAAACAATTATTTGTTAAGCACATGTGCTTAAATAAAAAACTTTTAATTCGAGACACAAGAGAGTAATGAACGAGTCATTCAGAGTAAATGTTTATTTTTTCTATTAATCACATGTCGTGTTCAAAGTTTTAAAAGTAAATAATTATTTAGCCTGAATTCTCTAAATATGCAAATATTATGTAAATTATATTAGCTAATAAACATATAATCTAATTATGAACACTTGTATATAATTTAAAAATATTCTATTAATGACACAAATAATATAATTGATAAAAAAAAGGAATTATTAAATTTGCAAGAATTTTTTTTACTTTTATTAAAACATGCATTCAGTTTTTCAGTTACACTGTTTAATTTTGATGATTGTAGTGTCAATATTTCTTAAAGGCTGCTCTTTACTCAGAATTACTAACAAATTTCATTTTCTAGGATTTTAATGCTATTGAACCTTAAAGTGGTAAAGTAACATAGAGAAAACTGCAATCCTTTCATTATTTTATGCGTTCCATGTATCAATACGGAGTGAGTATATTCTAAGTTATGCATAAGTAAATTATATAATATACCTATGCATAACCTATAAAATGCTTTTCCAATATTTAATAATAATATTATTAAACATCGGGTAAGCATTTTAACTAAACAGACAAGATTTCCAATGATATTTTGCAGAAATTGTAAAAATGGCATTTTTAGAGTGTCAAATGCAATCCTGTTGAAATTCA